TCTTCACAAGTTCACTCCATCGACGTGCGCATGTCGTGCTCCCTATGCATGCCCCTTTTATATGCAGTGCCATTTATCGCACGCTTGCTTACCTGTTACCGGAACTTCATATTTCGTACACCGATATAAATTTCCTACTTGAAGGGAATGGCTGCACCGGCATGACGTCCCTTTCACCCTACAACACAGCTTCCGTGGCAAACGCCTGGAGCGCAGCACCACTTAGCATGCGCATTCCGTGTGTTTTCATCCACGTAACACAAATTACTCTTGTTCCCCTTTGAACCATTGTGGGTCGGCTTCATTCATGAAACCTGCACCCCCACATGACGCCAGGGCTCATTCATTTGGGTTTCCGTTGCATACATGGTGTGTCGTTGTGACTGCTGGTGGTGATGCTTTGAAGGTAATTAGCGCGGAAATGTATTTTGCTAAACTTAATGTAGTGCAAAAGGAGCAACTGTAATGACAAACGCATCCCTATGTGCATCGTTGACAACGTACAGGATAAGATGTCCAAAGTTGACAACGATTTACCAATAGAGGGCATTTTCCATTCCCGTATTGATGTGTTCATAAATGGGCCATTTGAGAATAGCACGCACTGCTTATCATTTAGTATTGGTGTTAGTGAAGGGGATTATTTACTTATGTAAACGCTGCGCTGGTAGATCGATTTCGTTGCGAAGTGCCAAGCAAACCGAAATAATTTGGAAGGTCTTCATATGCCCAGATAAATATATCAACTGCATATAATAAGGCATAAGCTGTTGCCGTATGCTGCATTATATGTATATAGTATCTTTGTATGCCGCATCATGTACCTTTTGAAATGTACGTACATATATATGCATGATTAGATACATATTTCGGCTCATGTATGCATACGCATTACATATATATATATATATGCAATATATATACGTATATATGTACAAATATACACATATATATATATACTTATAAATATACATAAATATATATACATCTATATTCACATACGTTGAGTATTAACGCAGATGCTTGCAAATTTATATACGTATATAGATATATGTGTGTGGTGCGCTGAGGCTGGTGGTGGCTAGATCCTGACAGATGGTCTACCCACTGCTGCTACTGTTGCGCCATAGTCTCATGTCCTGGGCGCCTCCACGTGGCGACCGCTGGGTGGGAGTTAGGTTTCCCCTTCTCCCTGCTAAGATCCAGGACACCAATCCGCATGAGTCAGCTAACTGACCATGTGCTAGACCCGCTGCCTTTCGGGTGTTTATTTAATCGAAGGCTTTGGCTGAGGACCCGAGTCGTTCTCCTGTCAGGATTGGGCGCCCTGGCAGTATCCTAGTCCATCCTCTCCGGAGGTTAGGAAGTGGTCGATGGCCCACTTCCCGTAAAACCTAGCCATGGGAGACAACAGGTTACGGGTGATATTCTCAATGCTCGATTGGCGTAGAGCACGAGTGCCACGCATTGTCTCTGACGGTGGGAGGACACCTCCGGGTGTTCAGTGGTTTGCTACTGCCCGCCTCAAGCCAGGCAGCCCCTGGTCAAATTGGTGCAAACCCGCCAAAAACCCACCTGCGTCTGGCCGTGGTCGCAGTGCGTATCCAATTACGGTCGCAAAACATATGATAATTGTTCCAGAACCTCAAAGGCTGCGTGCGACGGTCGGCAAGCAGATCCCAATCTGTCTCTGAAATCACATTCCCGAGCTGGATCTGCTCTCCACTGCCTTGTGGGTCAGGCTATTGAGCCAAAGGCTCCGGGTGGAGTCCCTCAAGCAAACCTCCGAAGCACAACGACCACCTCACGTGCGATTGCCCACCAATGCAATCGTATGCCTGCGCGATGCACTCATCATCGGGTGCTGGAAAGTGCACACACTACTGGACCGGAACTCGAGCGAGCGCCCGGAGCGACGCCCTGCACTGGTCGCAATGGAGCTGGCGCGCTACCACATCGATATGGCGGCACTCAGTGAAACTCGGCTCGCTGAGCAAGGTAAGTTACATGAAGCAGGTGCTGGCTACACATTCTACTGGGTGCGGAACGCCGCCTCAGCACCACGTGAACATGGGGTCGGATTTGCAATATCCAACCGCCTGAGTGGCCAGCTGGTGGGTGAACCAACGGGCATCAGCGCGCGGCTGATGACTGTTCGCCTACGACTCGGAAGAGGTAAGTTTGCTACTTTTATAAGCACGTACGGTCCGACCATGTGTTATCCTGATGACACGCGTGATCAGTCCTACACTGAGCTATCGTCCGTGATACGGTCGGTGCCGAGGAGCGACCGACTATTTCTGCTGGGTGATTTCAACGCTCGCGTTGGGCGTGATGCATCAGCGTGGACAGATGTTATCGGTGCGCATGGCATTGGTTCAGCGAATGCGAACGGTGACAGGCTGCTCTCACTGTGTGCCACTCACGGCCTGACGATCACGAACACTCGGTTTGCACTGAGTGCGAGTGATATAGCAACTTGGACGCACCCACGGAGTGGTCACGCTCACCTGCTCGACTATGTCATCGTACGTCAGCGTGATATGCGTGAAGTGCGCATGACACGTGTACTGCGTGGAGCTGAGTGTGGCACTGAGCACAAATAGATTCGGACCAAACTGTACATATATTTTCGTAAATCGATGTATTGCACTCCCGCCGTGAATCGGCGTAAATTTAACATTCTCTCCCTCGGTACTGTAGCGAAACGTACTGAGCTGGAGAAGGCGCTGGCTGCACGCCTGTGTGGTGATGTGGACTGTATAGCCACAGTGGGCGACCTGTGGCACCACATTCGCGACCAGGTGACAGCTGCTGCGGAGGAGACCATCGGGCGCGCAAACTGTAAGCGGCCTGATTGGTTTGATGACAACAATGTGACGATTGACGCATTGGTGTCAGAGAAGAATGCAGCATTTGCTGCACATGTTGCAGACCCCAGTGACTTGGGGAAGAGTAGTCAGTTTCGCAAACTTCGACGGCGACTGACCCGAGAGCTCCGTCGCATTAAAAATGCATGGTGGACGGAGAAGGCGAAGCAGATGGAATGCTACGCCGGACGCCGTCAACACAAGAAATTCTTCGACTCCTTGAAGGCGGTGTATGGACCGAGATTGGAGCAGCTGAGGACGCTGATCGATGGTAGTTCAGGCGCTACCTGCACCCAGACTGCAGACATAATGCAGATCTGGCGGAAACACTTTGACTGTCTCTTGAACAACCGTTCAGAGATCGACTGGCCTACATTGAATGGCCTGAAGCAGCACGATGTGAAGACGGATCTGGCGGATACGCCGAGACTGGATGAGACGCAGAGAGCACTTGCTCAGCTGTGAAACGGCAAGTGTGCTGGGGCCGACGGGCTCCCGCTTGAATTATTGAAATACGGCGGACCCGCGTTGTTGGCTGCGCTGCACCACTTGGTGCAACGCATGTGGATTGAGGAGGAAGTGCCTTCTGAGCTGAAGGATGCCCTTGTGCTACCACTGTACAAGGGTAAAGGTAGCAAGCAATGTTGCACGAATTATCGTGGCATCAACTTGCTGAGTTGTGTGGGCAAGGTGATTGCGCGAATCCTGCTAAATCGCCTCGTGAGTCAGATTGTGGAACCAAACGTGGCGGAAGAGCAATATGGATTCCGTTCGGGTCGCAGCACTATAGATATGGTGTTTGCGGCTCGTCAGTTGCAAGAGAAGTGCAGAGAACGACACCAGCATTTGTACTCGCTTTTTGTTGATTTCACCAAAGCATTTGATACAGTGAACCGCGAGGCACTGTGGCTGGTGTTGGGTAAGTTTGGTTGCCCGTGTAAGTTTGTAAGCTTAATTGGATGTCTGCACAGTGGTATGCGAGCGAGGGTGCAGCTGAGTGGAAAGACCTCTGATGACTACAGTTGTCTCTGGTGTGAAGCAAAGGATGTGTCTTAGCTCCTGCCCTGTTTAATATCTATCTTCATGCAATGTTGTCTTGTGCTTTTGATGCGGCTTGTGCTTACGGTGTTCGTGTGGAGCACCGTATTGATGGTGGGTTGCTGAACATCCGTCGTTTCGGTGCGAGAACTCTAGTCTGTGAGACAACTATCCGTATGTTGCTTTTTGCTGACGACTGTGCGTTGTTTTCACACTGCGCGGATGAGTTGCAGCACATGACTAGTGCTCTGGCTTTGACAGCGGCCCAATTCGGACTCACAATCAACACAAGCAAAACTGTCTGTCTCTTTCAGCCTTCACCGGAGGTGCAATCTTCAATATTGCCGCGAATCAGCATTGGTGCTGAAGTATTGGGAACCACCTCCCGCTTCTGCTACCTTGGGAGTGTGATGTCGACTGATCAGCAGCTACACGTTGAGTTGCGTAATCGCGTGTCGAAGGCGGCAGCGGCATTCGGGAAGCTTGAGTACCGAGTGTGGAACAACCATCAGCTTAGCATTGGCACGAAGTTTCATAGTCTGTACTGCAAAGGGGCTGGTTGTCGCATAGTAACCCGGACGTTATATTCTCATTTGTACCACGCACTATTCGATGCCTCTGGTTCCATCGACCGGACTCTGCTTCCTGTTTCGCTCCGCATCAGCCATTCAGCTTCCTGTGCGGTGCATAGTTTTGATCTCAAGTCTGCATCCTTGCTATCCATCGCGTTTACTCTCTTCAAAAGCGATTGTTTCCTGACGCCTAAAGCGCTTTAAGCACAAATCAGTCATTGCACGTGAGTGAGACTCTTTGTATAACCAAATGTGCTCAAGTATTGTGCCTTTCGCATTTGATATCTGGGCTATGGGCTGTCAGTGGTCTAACTTGGCTTTCCAGACACTCGGCAAGCCCCAATCCAGCTTGTCCTATAGTCGGATGCGATATCAGCACCCACATGCGCAACATATTTCTCCCATCCATATAACACAGCGTCGCGCGCTTGGAAATAATTTCACTGTTACACGATCGCCTACATATGACACGCTTCTCTTTTTCTGCTGTGCTATCTTTTCCTTGTCTGTTACTTCTCAGCTCGTACGGCGCGTGTTCAAGGGTATTCCGCAGCAATTTCGAATGCGTGTTTGGCCGCTACTTCTGCGTGTACCGGAGCTGAAGCGACAGAACAAACTTGTGTACGATGTGAGTTCGGTCTGTGGAGCGGCGGCACCCCACTGCTTCTACTTGTTTGTCTTTGTCTCCATCTGTGGTCATCGTCTGATTTTAGTGTGGTGCGTGCGAACACGCGCCAGTTTTGTTCGTCAAGCTTATATTTAAGGCAGATTTCTTTTCTCCAAACAAAGTTAAATACCATCGGTTGTTCACTATTGCGTTATCTGTTTTACACTGTTGACCGGATATTCTGAGCGAGCTAGTTTGGTCTTTCACGTCTGGAGCGGAAACATGCCGCGACTTAAGACGTCTGTGCATGTGGTGCAGAATGTATCTCGCACCTAGATAACTGCGGTCGTCGCTACACAGAGTTGGTTAACTTTTCATGTAAGTCAATTGAGGGTCTTGTCGTACTTCCTTTTAGCACATTAGTTCATTACTTCACTGCCATATCCACTCGCAATGAAACTCTGCTTTTGCACCACATGTTATTTCCTACCATACGATCTACGAGTTCTCGGAGTGCAGCAATCCGGGTTCAATCCGCGAATGAACGTCCTCTACACATGCTACATGTCGATAAAAGCTGTCATACGCTATTGTGTAGCTTCCTGTCTTTCTGGTAAATTCCTCGGTGTGTGCATGTTTATGGCACAACAATCATAGCCTACTATTCTTTGTTTTATCCGATCGCAACTATCCCCATAAGAAACAGACGCTTAGCCTAAAATCTGTAGATCCATCAGGTCGCTCTTCATCACTGCATCCATTGCTTTTCGATGAGATACCCCATACCGTGTGATCCAGCCGACTGTATGCGGCTGACTGCTCTCAGTTGTCGTTATGACGATTCTACTGCCACTCCCATCCTCGAGATTTGATTTTCCCTTTTCTGTTAGACTATTCCACATTGGATTCTACGCTGTAGTCCTGAGTGTCAGGTCCTCATCATGCTGTTGCACCAGACACTATCTAAACACCGATTTGAAATACTACTCTTTTGTTGTTGGTCCATATCTTGTTAACGAAACTTTGCTGGTGAATTCGTAGGTTTACCTATGGAACAGTACCACACACTGAATAGATGCGTAGTCCTGTGCGCTATTTCACAGCAATCACTAATCTAGTCAATTCGACATCATTCCGCTTGATCGTGTCTGGACTGTGCTTCCGGTCAATCGGATTACGAAGCTGCGTGTTTTCAGCAAACGAAGGTTGGTGTCATTGGTTAGGGAAAGTTGCGACAAAGTGTTCTTAGACAACACGTTGTTCCCGCTTTAATCTCGTTCAGCATCCACATTGTCAACAAAACTCATCCGTTGGAATCTGCGGGCGTACTCGCAATTTCACTAGCCCACACAATCGACTGGTGATGTTCGCTTGGCATCAATTGGTGCGGAGCATCGGTGTAATGCTAATGTCTTTTCTAAAAGGCTTATATCTTGGAAGCAGTTTTGTTTACTCTGTCTGTTCGCTTGCACTTATCAGGTAGGTATGCTCACTATGGAATGACCTCAACTGACCACCTTCAGCTCATTTTAATCTCTGTGGTCGATTATTGCGTGACGTGGGGGTCTGTCAGGTAGCACGTTTCTGATGACTTCTTGGAATCCGAGGGCGCAGATTAGTTTTGCACTGATGCTTTTTTCCGCCATCGATCGTACCATTCTTGCCACAGTCCGTTTCGACCTGCAATACCAATTGTCAACCTAGAGCTGCTCCTTCGATCAAGCTGCATGCAAACAGAGTGACGCACTGTGTGGTAGCATTGTTCAGCCTATGCACTGTCACCAGACGACGGTACAAAAATGGCACCAGCAGTACGCTGGTACGCAGTACCGAAGCTTCGCTACTACGCAACTAACACCGGTCGCATGATGTCTACGGATACCGCGAGTGTCGCCCGATCCCCTACCCCCACGCATACTCGAACCCGCGACCACGAATTACAAGCCAGGCTTATGATCCTTAAGGCTACAGGCCGGGGATACAAAGCAGCGTAGAATGTGTGCTGAACTGTTTCAATGCAATCCGTTGATTGGGTCTTGTCTGCCTCATACGAACTTTCGATGTCTTGTTCTAATGACACTGAGCTTCAGTGGAATAGGATCTCGGCCGTCATACACGACGCAGGAACATCTGCTTGTGACACTGTCAATCGTCACTGCACCAGTCACTGGATATCCGAGAGGTCGGTGAACCTGTTAGAATCTAGAAGAAACCTCCCGGCTGGCTCTGAGCACAATATGACCTGACGAACTATTAGGCGCGAGCCTACGTGCTGACAAGGAAGCCTGGTGGACCATTCGGGCTCAAGAAATGGAGGAGGCAGGAGCAGTGGGCAATTATCGCAAGCTTTTCCAGCTAATCCGCACCACTGATCCCAGGAAACCAGGCGTCAGTGAGACAATCAGAGACAGTGCGGGTGCACTGATACACAATAAGGAGCGCCGTATGGCTCGTTGGGCGGAATACTTTCAAGATCAATTCAGCAGGCCCCCTGCTTCCGGACCTCTTCCTACTCAGGTGATGCAGGACGAGGCATTGACGGTTAGTTTAGAGCCTCCGTCGGAGGCCGAGGTTCGAAACGCGATCACAGCCCTCAATCGTTTTCGTGCCGCTGGTCCGGATTCCCTCCCACCTGCACTGGTTAAGGATGAAGGTGAGGTCCGCTGCAAAGCACTGACTTCCCTATTCGAACGTATTTGGAAAGAAGAGAGTATCCCGGCTACTTGAAGCGAATCGATCATAGTGGCAATTTACAAGAAGGGCAGTCGCACAGACTGTTCTAACCACAGGGGTATTTGCCTAACGCCAGTTGTGACAAAATTACAGGCCTCGATTCTCGTTCGTCGCCTCACTGCGGAACGGGAGTTTCGGATTAGGGAAGAGCAAGCAAGTTTCCGCCCAGGATGTGGCTGTATAGACCATATATTCACTCTGCGGCAGGTACCAGAGCAGCGCCACGCATACCGCACGCCGACAATAGCTGTGTTCTTTGATTTCAAGTGGTCGTTCGATTCAGTCGATCGATCGATTCTGTTCGCAATGCTTACACGGAAATATCTCGCGAAATATGTGGATATCCTACGTGCTCTGTACTGGAACACTGCAGGCCGCGTCAGGGTATACGGTGGCCTATCGAATAGCTTTCCAACCACAAGTGGCGTTCGTAAAGGTTGTCCGATTTCTCCATTTTTGTTCAATTTCGTCGTGGACTCTATCATGGAGTGTTCCCTTACGAAATCTCACGATGTAGGCGTTTAATTGCTGCCTGATGAAAAGTCACTTGATCTTCATTATGCGGATGATATTGTCTTGCTTTCCACGATGTTGCGGTGGCACAATCAAACCTGAATAGCCTATGCAGAATTGTCCCATTATTTGGTATGCACTTCGCGCCTTCAAAGTGCAATGTGTTGCTGCAGCACCACTAGCCACTTTATAACCCCTTGCCCTTGGTAACGAGGAGCTGGAGGTGGTTGATCAATTCACTTATCTTGGCGGTTGCATCAGCAATGATGGGCACATAGAAACTGACGTCAGCTCACGCATTGCAAATGCCAGAGCTGCCTTCTTGAACCTGCGGCATCTTTGGCGACAGAGGGAGTTTCTCTCCGTCTGAAAGGCCGTGTATGCAAGCCAACAGTGAGGGCCGTCCTGCTTTATGGGAGTGAGGCTTGGCCCCTTCGGTCTGAAGATCTGAGACGCCTTCAAGGCTTTGGTCATCGTTGTCTGCGAAGCATTGCTGGTGTCGGATGGCACCAGCTTGCCCGCAACGATGATGTGCGTAGGCGAGTGATAGGTGGTGATAACTATCTTACCTCCCTAGTACAGCAGATAGCACTGAATAAATTGCGTTGACTTGGGCACGTGCTACGTATGCATGGTCACCGCTTACCTAGGACCTCATTGTTTAGTCTACCATGTGTAGGGTGGCGCAAAGCTCGAGATGGACAGTTGATTTGGTAGCGGGAAATGAAGTCACTGACGACCAAATTGGGTGCCGTTGGTCCGTCTCGCCTTCCGGGCTGGAGTCCACGTGACTCGCCTTGTGCTTGGCTCGAGACTTTACAGGACATGGCTCGCAACCAACACCAATGGCGCGTCTCCTGCCGTATTTTAGTCGGATTGCCTGTTTATGGTGTGTTTGATGCTGAGTTATCTGTGGGGCTGTTGTTTGACATCCCCGGTGCGGCTGCTCTTGATGTGCATGTTGACAAGGTATCTACCTGTCTATTACCCACTACCTCGTCCATACTGTCTCTAGTAGATAGTTGGTCGTTGCTGGAGGGGACGAGGTGCGCGATCCTTGTGGTCGTGCTAGGCTCGAAGAGTGGTTCCATGCACTCAGTGTGAAGCGGACTACTGTCCAGCCACCGCCTTGTGTGCGCTTGATTCCCAGCTACAGCGTGCTTGTGTTTGCCTGTGAATGAGTGTGGGCCGGCTCCGTTGATGAAACGTGGCTCCCATCCACATGCCTCCCGGTTTTATTCCTTCGGGTTTACACTGGATATAGGGTATGTGGTTGGAGCTGTGAGTGGTGCAGCGCAAACCACCGATGGTCCCTCTGTAGGCGCAGGCGTCCTGTGGCTAGCCACAGTGACAGGCAAATCCGAAACGGGATGCCGCAACCATATCTGTGGGATGCTGGCTGATTATGACGCGGGGCAGTGAAAGCCGCAAGTAAGCTGTCTCGCCGATGCCGCCTTATATTTACACGATTGCCAGCTGTTTGTGACGTTATGTTGTCTACACAAGGTGTAGGCGACTTGACCCTGAATGTTTGCTTTGGGCATTAAGGTTTTCAGGTAAGTCCCCCTTCTCTCCCTCTTCTTATACTTTATCTCATAGGTCCTCATAGTTGTATGGCAGCGAAGCATCAGTTCAAATGGCTGCTGTACTGTTGTTGTTGTTGTTGATGATGATGATGATGATGACGATGGTGATGATGATGATGATGATGATGATGATGATGATGATGATGATGATGATGATGATGATGATGATGATGATGATGATGATGATGA